CTGCTGCTCAAAAGTATCCGAACGTTTGTGATTTATGTAATAATAACAAATGCTACTCGACTCGTAATCCGTACAAATAAAATTGAAGTGTCTGTCTGTCTGTCTGTTCCGTAATAGATAGTGTAGCTTCTGGATTGGATTGTATAAAAGTCGCAAATTTATTTAGAAACTCCAACAAACGAAATATCTCGTTAAAGAATGAGGCTACCAAAAAATATTTTTATAAAATTTATTTGGTATAAATGTGTACTGCCATAAAAAAAAGAGATTTTTCATTTGAAAATGACAAATAAAATCGTCACTGGCGCTTCGACTATGTACAACGTTGAATGGCTGAAAGTTGCAGTAACTCAAGACGGTGAAAAACGAAAGAATAACTACGGTGCTCGTACTAACCAGCTACATTCGGCTGAAATCCTGCAAGGAGTGTCCATGCTTTCGTCCTTATTACGTTGCTCGTCGAAATATCTCCAGCTTCGCGTTTCAAAATGAACGCGATACGGAGGGACACGTGTTGAACATGATTTCTCACCCTCTTTGAATCAGCTTCCTGCTTTCTTTTGTCCCCGTTTCTACTCTGTCTCGACCCCTTTTTCCCCACTGTCTCCGTGTATAAATCCACTCGTTCCTCGTCTTGCCTTTTTGCCCATCTCGACATCCGCGCGCCGCGTCTTCTTCGTTCCTTCAATCACAATGGCCCGCTTTTTTTCGGCGAGCCTTTCTTCCCAGCACGCGAAAAAATGCGGTCCTTTCTGTCGCGCGCAACTGGGTCGAGTGCAGTATCGAGAAAACGTGCCCAAACAAATGATATTTTTGACGTCTTTCAACTGCGCTCAATTTTTCTTCCACGCGATAGACGCGGTCCAAAAGAAACTGTCGAAAGGAGACATATTGCTTATGGAGAAGTAGACTACTCGTTATATAACTTTCGAAAGTCCCGTAGAAAATGAAAAAGAGCTGTTTAGTAAGTGCGATGTTGCAACGAATTGTGAAGAAAGAGTTTTTATGAAAAGGAAATATATGAGTATTTAATCATTCTCTACGCGACACTACGTTTACTCAACTAAAAATACAGAAAGAGACTAAGAAATGTAAACGAAAAACTTAAAGATACAAATATCAATACAATAGAAAAATCCTATTTATTTTACTTGAAAAACGTATGATGATTACACAAAAAAGAGATTCAAGATTTCTAATGAACGCCATATCATTTCCGTATATATAGAGAGGATTGTGGTGTAAAGCCATAAACAGGGAGAAGGCGTGCTATTCTCTGTATTGGATATCAATTAGAAAATTATACGTCTCGACGGAACAAACGTGTCGAATACCTAACATCCGATGGGGATGCAAGGTATTCGATGAGCGTGTAAAAGTTATGCGCGGAAACCGGGGGATTGGAAAACAGCGGAGGCGTCTGAGGAAGGGGTCACGGACCTTCGGATCGTTCTCAAACTTCGCCCGCGCTCGTCAAATACGTTCCGTGTCTGCGGCGTCTAACTTGACTAATTGGCTTCCTGTTGGAGCTGAATAATAATTTAATAATGGAATATTGAGAGCGCGAGGAGGCAACGACGCGCGAGGAACGAAATTCACGCACGCTACCGTACAACGGCGGATCGCCTATTGCTCGATAAAATCTGTTGTTGCATAAAAATGATCGTTAAATAAAAGTGACTGTTGAGTTTGTTTTCACTGTTATCTGCTCCCTACACAAAATTAAATTCACAAATCATGAGTTGACAGTGAATTTTATGCATTTATGACGTGCAATAGTTTGGAGAACATGAAAAAAAAATATACATGTCGAATTGAGTAACCTCCTCCTTTTCGAAGTCGGTTAAAAATATACGTAGCGTAGTTTGAATATATTTTACAATTAATATAATAATATTGTTATTTCATTATGGCAAAAGTATAATGTTTAAATCACGTGTTTATAAAACTACCAAGAAAATACAACAAAATATTATCATCTAATTTCGAAAATTTTAACAAGAAAGATGTTTTATTAATCATTTAGAATGAAACATAACAATGAAAGACTTTGTATAAATAAACAAACCGAATTTCAAGAGTTTTTGCCAATTACGTTGACTACGAAAAATAACGAATATTGCCCTGCAACTGGTAGAAACGAACGAATTCCCCTTTAAACAAACTGTCACACTTACCAAACACGTTTTTCCTTTTTTTCCAGCGGACTCCATACACGGAATAATTGGATTTCACCGGGAACAGCAATTAGCGTCGTATCACACGCGTGAGAAACTACATTCGATTCGCGGTAATCCCGGCCGAACTGATTACGCGCTATCAGAAATGACGTCGAGTCTCGACGAACGAGAAGGCAGCGAAACCAATTTTTCGTTCCGCTAGCGGAAACTTGACACGAGATTTTCGCGGTTACGCGCGATTGCGGATCGTGCGATGACCTCGGTTCGACGAGCTGCCATTAACATCGAGTAATCCTGAATCGGCAATCAGGGATTGAAAATCTTAATCGGGCCGGCAATTCGACGTTTGACGGACAAGAGAACGTTTCGCCGAGATCGCATAAAAGGGCCAGGATTTTTCCTCGAACGGAGGATCGGATGAAAAATGTTCTCACGCTAACGGGAAAGTTTTCGTTCTTCTCGTTAACTCGATTCAGTGTTAAGTTTTAGTACGAAAAATTCGCTTAGAGGTAAAATGCAATCGGTAAATGACTAATAATGAACACAAGTTTATAACTATACGATATTTTAAATATAAATTAATCCGTCTTTTTCCAAAAGAGAGTGAAACATCAAAATATAAACAAACATAAAATGTTAAATATAATTTTGTTACTCAATTAACACCTAAAATACAAATTACTATGTGTACCAACTGGCCACGTGGTGGTAAATTATACTAACCTCGGTGCTGTTACGATAATAATAATATTGATATTTATTCTCGAGTTTGTGTGTGTTGGTAACAATAATACCTTGTGTGTGCACATCAGATTCGAGTAATAATGTTCTATAATTTTGTCGCATTTATGCTCGTAATAAGTGGTTACAATTCCACAGAACAGCTTTGAATAGTTACAATATTTCATACTTACTAGAGGTTTATCTATAAAATCTTTACCCACGTCGTTGGTTTTGAGAAACATAGTTAAAACATGTCCTATCATTATTTCATCACGGAGTGCAGAACACCGCGCAGCGTTCACGAAATGGCATCGCAATTTTTCTCTAAAACAAAAAACAAACAAAAAACATAGAACGAATCCGATGTAGGAGCGAACCCCACACGAGCAGGTCGCACTAATATTGGCACGTGACTGTGAATAATTTTCCCAACGTCATCGGCAAAAACATCGCCGCGCAACGTCACGTTCGCCCTGTATGAGATATTGCTGATCACTCCTCGATTCAGCTATCGGTGATCGTTTCAATTTCCTGTGCGTCGGCCTCTTGTTCGCCGTCTTTAACTCCGGCGTATCATGACGGACGGCCTGGCTGGCCAGCACCATTTTTCTTCGACGCGAAATTACGTCTGGGTCCTTAGCAAACGTCGAGTCATTGTTATCGTGCGCGCGCTCAATGACGTGCCCGTTGCTTTCCCACGAGAACCGAAGAAAATCGAGGCAATACGAACACTAAGCGTCGAGAGGAAACACTTCACGATCTACGATTCCATCCCCTCGACCTCTCGTTAGTCGCGAAACAAAGCAAACAAGACGCTGGGATGCGATTCGTCCGACCGAACATGCACCGCTTGCCGTTGCGAAAGAGAAAGGGAGAAATGTCTGACCCGATACCATTGGCAATTTTTTCCAGCACCTAGAATTCTTTCCCGCGCAATCTATCATTTTTACTTCGTTGTAACACCACAAAAAATACACGGATAGACTAATTATAAAACAGTCTAAGAGTAGTACGATAAGGACATTTTAAGCGGGTGTTCTAGTTTGCACAATTTTCTAGACTTTTCTTGGTTGAAATGGTAAGTAATATTGAAACAAAACTTACCCATAACATTAGGTATGACTAAAACTATTTATTTGTATCTTTATCGTAACGTACATATGCCGTATAGTTTTTGGCACAGGAATGAAAATTGTTTAAAAAGGATACAACATATGAATAAAACCGCTGAAAGTAAGTTCAACTGCATCGCACACTGTTTTTGTAACGAGACAAACTTCAGATAATCATAGTTTAGGGTTTTGCCCATCACTAAAATTGCCTACTGAGATTCGAAATTCCTTCCAGCGCTGGTCTTTCTTCTCGAGTTCTCGTTGCAGTGAGACAGGAAGATCGGTTACTGGTCAAGACGAATGCGGTGCCACGAGTATGGTGAATGTAAACAGTACAGAGTAATTCGTGGTCAGTGCTAGGGCTAACCGGCACGTCTGACCCAATACAATTCGTAATTCGATCCACTATTCGGTCTTTCTCCATGTCATAGGAAGATAAGATTATTAGCCCTGGGTTAAGGAAAATATTATACTTCGAATAACAAATTTCGAATAATTCAGGATTCGTGCAATCTACACGAAGGTTAAAATGCCCAATTCGACACGGCCTGCTATTTTTTCTAGGATCTCCACATCTCTCACTCATTAAACCCTCGACCCGACCACACGTGTTAAATCGGTTACGTCGCGTTAATTTATTTTTTGGGATCGACTCTCTTAATCAAATGAACATTTAATTGACGCTCGGTATGATCGATACATCTGGAACCACCTTGGAGAGACAAACCCGCCGTGTCGGTCCATTTTGCAAATCAGTTTTGCCTACTGAATGGAAGTTTAATTGTCATCCTTTGCGAGTGACTGATCGCGTTTGTTAGCGAGTCGAGCCGAATTTGCAGGACGAAAATAACAGGAACAGCTTTGAACGAAGGAATATCTAGACACGTTCAATCTTTAGCAAAGCTGAAGTCCGAGTATAGAACAGTATCCATTTTGTAAATATTCGATGCAGCTCTATCGATACGAAAATCGAAATAGTACGTACCCATCGGTCTCGAGGAACGCCGTGCACATCCTTCAGATCCCAGATTTTCATCCTTGGAGAACGCAGGATTTTGGAGTGGAACGAAACTGAACCTAGTGCTAGTATCACCCTCGAAGGATCTTCCTGTTTGTCGACCTTAAAGCTCTTAGGTTCAACAAAATCAACTGAATCACAAAACACAGCACAATCGTGATGACAGAGACCACGGTCGAGTCGAATGCCTCGTGCTACCGGCGGCTACCGATCGACCGTTCCGTCCGATACGTGTGCGAAGGCGTCGCGGCGCTCACTGCGGAGACTTCGCTGCGTATCCGCCCTTATAGCATCGTGTTGCGCTCGCATCGCACCCCCTCTCCTGGAGCCCCTTCCACGATCGCTTCGCTCGCTCCTCACCCTTCGTTTTGACCCCTAAAGCCGTGCCGCGAGAATCTACCAGCTCCGCGCAGCCAACCCCATCCCGTTTCTTTCCTACCTATCTCGTCATCACCAACGACATTGCCACGCACCTCACCTCGCGGGATAACAGGAAAGACCAGCTCACGCTGTTTGCGTCAAATACAAAGTTCGAACAAGTGAATCAGGTGTTAAACTAAAAAGAGTGGGGTAAATAGATGTCTAAAGATACATTTTTATTTTTGGAATTTTAATGAATTCTATGTAGAGTATCTTTTGAGGCTTTAGATCGTTTGGATCAATTAAATTGAAAAATCCCTCACCGCTACAAGTGCTTTTCTCTAAGGCAAGCCAAGTGCTTTGCGGGGTATCAGGGTATCCCTCGATATTGAAATACGTGTCTTCCATTCCGATTATCCATATATTAATCATGATACGTTCAGCACTCTCCGCTTTGGATACCGTATGGCGATTAATTAAACACTCCTAACCTGTTGTAACTAGCGTTCGGAAAATTACTAATTGAAAATAACCTTCCAACATATATGACCTGTTCTACGATCAGTGACATTACGTACATTTCCGAATACGCTGCTGAATTGAAATTTCGTCGTGTAAACTTACTGTAAACCGATCATGTGACAATTCTGTTATGAAATCATCACAAATTACGATTCATAAATTGTACTAAATAGAGCTAACGAGTCAAGAAAACTATGCAAACTATTAAGTATGTAAAATTTGTACGTAATTTATCATATATTTTTTCATCTGTCGTTCCGTATTAAATGCGTACAGTATACATATGTAATACGAAGTATACAGGTAGGTCTCGGTAATGTTGGAGGTCCTTGAAAGGGGGTCGTTCGGGAGGGTGATTAGAAATAACATTTTCGCTAAGGAAAAAGTTTTTTAATAAACATTCTCTGAATGTATTATCTCCTTATGTAGGGCTGATACAGTGTTATGCCACGATGAACTAAATAAAATTTATTCGCGAATACAATTGCCAGATTCTAGAGGCAAGGTAGTAGCATTTCTCATTTCACCAAAATTAGTGTGGCTATGGAAATTTCTTAACTATCTCTTTTGTGCAAATTTGCGACCCGAATCAGATGAGCTGACGACCTAGATGCAATCTGTGATGGAGACTGGTGATGAGACCAATTAAATTACTCACTAATTAAAGCAGAATTCTGGTTTGTTTGTATCGAAAATCCACTTCTTAATTAAATGTACTTTCTAAAATTGTCAAATTTTATCCTTGTATTTTCAAAAATTTGCGTTTTCGAAAATTTAGAGGTATAATTAGACCGAGAATGATAGGGTAAATTTATATTTTTATGCATAGACATGAAAAATAGAAACGTCGAAGTATATTCTACATTCTAAATGTTGTAACGTATCTTTTATTTTTCATATTTTATATACTTATACATATAAAGAGTAGAGGGCTTGTAATCTCCAATTTTCGAATAGAGAACAATTTCGTATTTTCGCTAAAAATTCAAAAAGTTCAAAAGTTCAAAAAGTATTTATGAGTTATTATGAGGTGTTTATGTTGGGACCGGGCCTCCATCTCATACAAAATAATTTACCGTGCCGCGATTACATAAAGGTTGAGAAATACTGCTGTATAATATCCGAGTATAAAGCAAGAGATGAAATGTCACAAGTGTTGCGATTCTGGCAACCCGCCCCTAACTACCCGTAAAAATACAGATAAACCTTCCCGATCGTCGTTCGGGTTGTTTTCGTCAACGTCACTCTCGAAGAATTCTCATCGACGAGTAACACCCTGGCGAGATTGAACCACGAATCGAACTGTTATTGCCTCGAATAAGAGTTTTCCTCCGAGTTGTTGGGGCCGTTTTGTCCCTAAGGAGGGTCGATACGCACGATTCCACGTCTGTCACGTAGCTAGAGGGTACGTAACAGTGCGTACACGTTTCCGTGACGGAGACGTATGTCGTACTGTCGACGACGTTGGTCCCCAATCATTAATTTATCCATCTGCCGGTGGTTGCTTCGGGGCAAACGGGTCGTGACACGCGGACTCGTCATCCAGCACGTGGAAAGCCCAAGGGTCACGGGCTTAAGAAAACATTCCTTTCGAGCGTACTCAACCCCGTGCACTCTCCTTCCTTGTTTCAAACATCGGGTAGAGGGTGGCCCGTCGAGGTCTTCGTCGTTCTTTCCACGTTTCCACTCCGTCGGTTCTTTTTTACTCCGTTCCGCTACACGAACCAAAAGAAAATTCAGAAAGGGGAGCTAGTATCATTTAAGAAGATAACGCGGCTGTTACGAGATACCGAGTGTTCCACTGACCCTCTGGACCTGAAGCGGAGTGGTTCCACGAGATTGCCACGGAAGGTGTTTCGACGAAGGTGAAACATACGGGGCTGCTTGGAAAATCGCACGTGGCTCCTTCATAGTAACAAATGATCCTCTAGGTAGCGATTGGACTAAGCGCGTATCATTTCTGATTGGTCGCCGTCATTGAAAGCAAAAATCGAAAACAGGCAGAGTAAGAGAACAAAGATAGGTATAGATAGATTGATCGTGGCTTTGGAGCAGCGTTCATTCCGATACAACATATCTGAAAAATATGAAATTTTACAAGAAAATAACAAATCGCAAACATGTCTTGATAACGGGGCCAACTAGGAGACATGCTCTACTATATGCGAGAGGTTTCATCCCGATTGGTTAAGACATCTCGGCGTAATCGGTAAATCGGTTATTCATTATACCACATGTTCAAATGTATTCAGCTGAAAAAAAAAATAGAGAGGGATAAAGGAACAGGGTTTAAAATAGACAAATGCTGGTAACAAAGATCTCATTTATTCGACAACCATACGCGTTGCGCTCGCGCATGTCACACGATCGCATTAGGCCGCAAGAGCAGAACGGAATCTAGAAAATTGATCCTGTTCGTATACACAACTGGCACCCAAGTGGGCTCGTTAAATCTCGAGCTCCGACGTCCTCTGCTGTTATAAATTCTTCCGCGATACACGGGTAGGGCTGAAATATTTACCAAACGCGCGACTTCTAGACTCTATTCTCAGGACAAATTTATTACGGCTAATATTCCGAATGCGCTTCTCTCCCGAGGTCGTAAAGTCGTTGCCAGATATGGGGAAAAAAAGGAAATATATATGATGAATTATTGTCTCAACGCACGCATAATATTCGTGTCTGCACGAATGCACACCGCGAGCCGTTTACGCGAGCTAAGTCGCGAAAGCTCGAGAATTTACGAGCCTCGTTCACGATCGAGCGAACACAACAGCCGCTCGAACGGTAAAATTCTGTAAAACTGTCTCGTATACGACTAAAACACTTGGAATTTCGTATCAACGACGAGCAGAGTATCGCGACAAATATTCGTCGATTACCGCAACGCGACTGTGTGCAGAGCACGCCGACGCGACGCCACAGTGGCCAATTTTCAGAATCTAGCTGGACAAGATTAAGTAATGATTTCGATCATTGGCAAACTATAATTGAGATGTTTTTGAGGAAGTAAAGGGCAAACTAACTATTCTATGTAGTATCGACTTAACAGCTATACAGGATGTTAATTAATATGTGGAAGGTTTTTTGAGGATCAACTCTTCCCACCACCACAAATCAAAGAGTCCTTTAGTATTTTGCGTTCTGAAGATCAAGATCAAAGATTCAACAAAGTTGTTTCAATGCGTTCGAATCACCCCCGAACCACCCCTTTCAAGGACCTCTATCATTTTTAGGACAGTCTGTATATGTATAGCATATATAGTTCACATATTAATTAACAACCTACATAGTTTACTCTTTATGATTATAGGAATAGAAAGTGTCCTATCTTTTGCTTAACTTTACTCCTTCAGTTTCAAAACTGTTTATTTTAGCAAGCGTGGTTAATACTATTTAATTTATTTCCTCTAGAACGTGTATTGAAGAAAATAAATGAACTCTTCCAGTTTGTAAAAACCCGATATTTCTATTGTGTGTGGGTTAAGGGTTAATGAAAAGGGTTAATAAAATTGGCCACTGTACGACAACGAATATCTCTCTTGGCCTGAAACTTTTGTTTCAGTAACTTAAGGTAGAATAATTAAACAAGAAACATGCAAAAATCGAGCCTCAACGAAAAGTGAAAAATACGTAGAAATATGGAGAACGGTAAAATGCTAGTATCAAAGTGAGTTAGTGTCTTGCGACTAAAACGCGAATGCAACGGTAAATGTTACACTTAAATATTCTATGAATATATCGAACCATCACCTACACGGGCATATAAACAAGAAAAACTACTAATCGTTATAGAAAGAAAAATAACTTACATTGGGTAGCCTCTGAGCGTTACGAATTTATTATTAATAGACTGCGGATCTTTACGCAAAATAAAATCTTTGTAAATGTATGTACGAAAATTGATTCTAAAAAGGAATTTATCTTACTCTCCAAGTATTATAAGCTTTACTTTCAATATTTTTTGATATTATTGCATATTTAAATGTCCTATAAATGCATAAAAATCCGCAGTCTAAATTATTAACGATTTCGGAAAGATTCTGAATCTTTCTTAATTTCTTGAATATAAAATTAAAACAGAAAGGAAGTATTTAAAATCTCAATGATTATCACAGAAATTTGTAAAATGAAAATACTAATTTAATCTCAATAGTTGTAGGTTAGAAGATGATTCAAAACTAGTACATGGTATATTAAATTTCGTGATAAAGATTGCTTGCGTCCAGACTAAAAAATAGTGATCTTTATTGCTGTTTAAAATGAGCAATGAATGATAATATAACAATAGGAAAAATGCTTTTCAAAAGTAGACGACAAAGATGAAAGGTGAAAGGCTACGTAATATGAGTTACTTTTATTTCCTCATGAATATTTTGTTACCTAACGTTTGTCACGTTCCGTGCCGCACATGCGTTTCTCGCTAAACTTTCTGTTCAAGCCATCTGAAATTTTAACTCAATTTTAATAAATTGAAATATGAAATTATTAAAAAAACAATAACTCTTTGGAAGCATCCATTCAAGACCTTTTAAATTTTCACTGTAACACGGGAAATTTTTTAAATACTTATTGTGAATTCATATATTGACATCTGAATATCATGTAGAGCACATATATTATTGTTATTTATTATTGCGTTTGCGCTTCACACGGCGTAACGATCATTTCATTGATCACGGCATTTGATGAAACATTTATACATGCATTATTATGGCAACAATTATCGCTTGGTTATAGCTACTGTATATCCGATTCGGTTTATAGATGTAGTGCGTTTATTAAGCAAAATAAAGCGGAAAATGTACATACGACATGTGTACACTGATTTGGATGTTATGTATTTGCATATGAATGCGGCTATTATATGTGTATATCATTTTATACGATGGGCTTTTAAAACTCAAACCATTTTCCTGATGATTATAACTTTCTCAGTATTATGAATATTATTAAGGTATACGGGAAAAAATGAAACTATTAATCGCAACTGCATGAGGCGCATACGACCTGAATGGAAAGTAATCGAGAATCGGTCCGGCACAGAACGTGGCAAATACCTTGAAAGAATTCAAAGACCCTATTAGCATAATTCAGAGTATATTGCTCCGGTCGATCGCGTCGTTAAGCGCGAATCAAACCGAGATGCGTAATACTTAAGGCACTTGCGCGTAATTTCTGTTTTTTCTTCACGCTGTTCCCTTTCCGTTCGAAGGAACAAAAATCGATTGATCAGCGTGACATGGCAGAACAAATAGTGTTTTACGATGGACTCGAATAAATCGCAAGGTGGACGCTGCGCAACAAGCATACGATGCAATGGGTTTGGCGAAAGAGCGTCGAGTATGCCGTTCGGTCGAAGAGAACTGCTTTCTTCTCTTCCCTGTGTTCGTTGCTGCGTTCTACACCGTCGAGTAATCCTCGACCAATATCTGGCCGAAGTGAGTTATCACATAATCGTGGTAATACATCATTATGCAAAGTGGCTGTCCGATAATGAGACTCGCCCACACCATGATATTGCCCCATCTGGCGCCCCAATTCTGTTCCACCTTCTTGCTCAGCATCGATAATGGTATCTGGAAAATAAGTTAAAAAGTTTCTGTCTCATCACGTGGAAATTATTACAGGAAAGTGACTAAAGTCGGATCCCACCCTTTATGTCTTACCCATAACTTATTTTGTTAAGGAGTTAGTTTCGTTAAGGGTTAAGGGGTTACGCCACTTTCCCCACCCGACTTTTAGGCCTTTTCCAGAATTTCCATTGAAGCGATAACAAGATTTATTATAACATGAACTTTACTTTCTTGTACATTTGAATTTCCTATAAATCCATAAAGATCCGCAGTCTAATCATAAACAAGAACATCTATGAAGTGTACGTTTTAATATTTATTAATCGTTTTCAAAAATATTCCTCAACGCAATAATCAAATCTTCTAATCAATTTAAACGTCCATCGATGTTTTCTGTTTCAAACTGACCTGAATTTTGTTGCTATACTATGTTAAAATGAAATCCATAATGAAATTAGAATGTAAGCTTTCAATGATTCCATTTTCACCGTAGCCATATAACTAAGTATTCAGAATTATCACACGAACTATTACTGCCATCTATATTTTCACATCTGTGAATATATAATTCTTTGCAAACTCATATTTTGACGTATATTTGAAAACTTCTCGGGAAAATAGTATGTAGCACCATCAGTTGTTTACAGTTGCGGATACTGTGCGGTGATAAGAGTTAGTATAAATACCATGAAAGCTTCCAAAACTGTAACAGCTTCGAAATATTGCGGGTAGTTTAGCAGAGTAAAACTGAAAAGAGATTATATTACGCGGAAAAATGTTGAAATTCACAGTATCGTGTTTGTGATCAAAATAATACGAACAAATTCCGTAACATTTCCAGAAATTCAAAGTGAATTCATAAATCGATTATTTGTTATTTCGTATACATAAACATACCAACCAATATTCTGTTACACCAGAGCTACCAATGGTCAATGGAATCCTATTATAAATACTACAATATTTTTTAAATTAAATGCGAATGAAGTATGAAAATATGGAGTTAATTTTTTCGCATTTTATAAATAAAAAATTGTTGATATCTATTCTATAATAGTTTAAAAGATGAACAAAATTATCGTTGACAACCGTGATCCTTAAATTATTGTGTTCAAGAATTTTTTTTTTGTCTTTTTTTGTTATCTTTCTTTCTCGAAACGCCGACAAAAATCGCCAGATTATTCAAGAGTGCTGCAAAAATAGAAAGATCACAAGTCCATCGTCAGTAGTGAAATGAAAAATGTTACCTGTCCCATCATTCCCATGAACGCCCAGATTTTGAAAGTCCTTAAGGGCACGCTGACAAGGTACTCGTGGAAGAAGGCGCTGATGAAGAACACCGTGAGAGAAGCCGTTGATTTCTTGTAGCCCATTTCAATGACAGGAATATAGAGATGCCTGTAACCCATGAAGACGAAACATTCATTCAATTAACCCTTTGACTTGGACGATTTTTGTTGAAAATTCTAAGAGGAAAAAACGAAACTTTTTTTATACGTACAATTTATTTATACGACGTTTAGTTTCAGAGATAAAAATTAAAAACTTAAAAGACCTTCTTCCGGAAATTTAATTCTTCCAACGAACTTCTGACTTTTCAATCTTTATTTTCGAAACTAATCGTCCTATGAATAAACTCTAAATATAAAACAGTTTCGTCTGATCATCCCCTATTAGCTGATATTTAAAAAAAAAACTGATTTAACGAAACCCATAATAAATTATAACTTTCGTAATTAAATATTATATTACCGAAACGTAATGCTTAGATACCAGTCGTTAAAGTATAACAATGTTGAATTTGTTCTCGAGTACTCAACGATACGTGTGACATTTTTTAGTTCAGAAGTGTAATCGATGTAATCAAGTACTTGGAATGCACCAAGATTCTTTGCGATTCTCATACACTTTAGTTTGCGTCAGAGAGAATCGTGCCTCTGGTTTCCATTCGACAACAATTTCCAACCCCTACGAAACCATCCTCGGAGATCGTTTTCTTAGCCACGTGGTTCTATTGCTATGTTATGCTACAAAGCAATTCGAGAACACGGAAAGGGTAGAGGCATGCAGATAAGAACGGGCAGCCGCGACGCGTTTGAGGATCAGCGCAACGAGAAAGGCCTGGAAAAATTAAAGCAATAGCCACGGAAGTTTCCCGGAATAGCGACACTTTGCTTGTTGGCTCACAACAAAACGACGACAGGAAAGGATGAGCCTCGCGGAGCCATCGTTAGTTGGCTGGTTATCGGTAGCGTGGCATTAGAAAGAAGAAGAGGGGAGAACGAAATCGATCAGGGATGAAATCGCTTGATAAACTGACAGCCATAAGTATTAGGACACCTACTATATTAAAAATTTGGAGATAAAATAACACAAATCACATGTCTCATATGGTACACCAATATTTTTGTGTTAATTTAACATATAATACTTGTGTTAATCGATAAAACAAGCTCTATATTGAATAGATTAATACAAAAAGATGGTAACTTTAACAAACTTGTATGGTGCTAAACTAAACTTCAAAACATACATAAATTAAATGTTACAAATAATGTTGCAGAAATTGTATTCTATCGTGGACAAAGCAATAATAAAACGTTTTAGTATTATTGTAGTAACTACTCCAGGCATTTATTCGATGAGGATATAATTTTTAATTATCGTTTCTAGCTTGGAAGGAAATTGTTTTGGCAGTATCCATAGTATGATACGACAACCATGTAAAATATTATTTCGCGGTGCAGAAATAATAAGCTACGCAATTGTTGCAATAGGGCAACTGGGAGAAGAAACGTAAGAATCCCGCAATAAAGGTATTAAGAAATATGGGAAAGGTTATTCCAGACAATTTTCTGGAATACAAAACATGGAGGATACTTTTTATAATCTGCAGTACTCTCAAAACCATATACAAGCAGCATAAAGTAATTATGTTTCAGAAAAATGGAAAAATGTTGTAAAGTGACGAAAACAATTTGAATTAACATTATACTCTTGTCTACTGTTATTATATAGATGTTGAATGTAAACTATACAGTTGTTCAAAAGTTAGAAATATACCTACTTTGATTTTTAAAATAAATGGACCTTATTTGTACATATGGAAAGGTAAAAGTATACAGCCTGCATACGAATTAGGCATTAATAAACACGTTATGAGATTTAAATTGATTGCAATTACTCAAGGGATAAGTTTATAGCCTTTTGGGCCACGAATTACTGCAAAAGAAGATCGTAAAATTTTCTTTTTAAAACAACAAATTTAATATCGCTTTTTATTATCAAAGTAATAACCTAGATTGCACATCTGTATTAAATTTTGGCGTCCAACGTAAAACGCTTTAAATTTGCCGAGCAGTGAATGTGTTAATTTCATCAGTATATTATGTTTCAATCCCTCCATATAAGTTACCTTATTAAATTTGATAATTATTAAAATTAAATACCCAGCGATTCACCTCAGATTCGAAAATAATAATTTTTGCTACTATTCCATGAAAATTTCCGTGTATGCGACGTCGACGCCGTCTGAGAATCTCAGACCACGGGGAGTATCCTAGTATCCTTTCATTGATGGTCCGTCGAGGTAACCCGCGAAGCAACACCCCTCCAGCGGCATTTCGTCACCCCTTTCCTGTCATCTTCGCGGAATAGACGCTTCGGAATATCTTCCAGTTATAGAGGCATTATAAGTGCCGCAGGGAATAAACAGCCTTAAGTGCGCGCACCGCGATGCGTATCGGCTTTTCCCATTACAAACCTGAAAAGACGCCGCGCCGTTTCTCGTCGACAGTCGACCAAACCGCCCGCCCGCCCGCCACCCCCTTTACCGTCGTCTGTGCCGTCTAGTAAGTCCTCCTCTTCGTCATCGTCGTCGTCTGTGCAGCTTTTCCATTTTCACCTAGAGCGCCCACCTACGCCCGCCAGCGCGCTCGCATGGCTGTGTGCCAGTTGCAGCTTGCAATTGCAGAGAGCCGCATAACTCGACGGAGGTGGGATGAAAAAAACGACGAGGGCCTGGAACGCACAGGTGCAGCCGGAAAACCTGGAGACAGGCTCGAAGAACGAGCGAAATTCGAGCTTCGGCAGCCCGTGGCTTCGACGTTTTGACGGGCCCAACCCTATTATCGGGGATTAATTATTTCGAATACTGTTAGTTAGGGGTATCGGAGGTGTGGAACCTCCAAACGTCAATCTAATCGAGTATTGCTCGAATTCAGTGTTGCCATGTATCAGCTACAATGGAATATTATTTTAACTCTGAGCCACACGACTCAACTCTTTGCAGTCCTGCGTCACGTGAGATTCGACAGAATTGAACTGAAATTAGAAAATCTGAACTACAAAAGGTTAAGGGAACCGTCCCATCAAAACTGTAAGGAAAAAAGTGATATTTACGATTTTTTTCCCCGAGAAAAGTATGCAACACGAAGTAAAAAGGTTTTGGTTTTTTATTTAGAAAATGTTTGAGAGTGCAACAAATTTTTGTTATTATGTGCAAAGGGTTAAGTTCGATTAGATATATTTTCTTTCGAACGTGACAACCTCGAAATAACTACCTTAAACGTCAAATTTTTCACGTGACAGCGTTCGATTACTTTCGCGACTCACTGTATACTTTTAAAATCTCTACGGAAAAACTAAAAATTAAATATCTTTGCGTACTTGAAAACAGTTGGACTACTATGCGATATCTCTTTCGACGAGCAAGAATAACCGCTCTCGCGAGAACCCTTCGATCCACGGATTTCGACCGTCTTCCGCGACACGGAAGGCTTTCCCCGTGGTCGCGCAGTAACAACTTTACCGAGGATTTAAACTTTCCTCTCCACTTCTGAAGTAAAAAAAAAGTAAGAAGAAAAAACTACGCTGGTTTGCGCAAGAAGGTCGTCATCGTGGACGCGAGTTGTTAGCGGCACGTGCACCGACAGGAACACAGAAAACCCTATATGGAAAGTTTCTCAGGAACTTTGGTGATTGTATTGAGCTGGCTAGGATACATAATCCAATGTAGACGACGACAGGGAAGACGTATGAGGATAAAAAGCGTTCAGCGAGCGGCAATCTTACGCTTACCTTGGGTGAGAGTTTTTCGGAAGATTCTCGCAAGTGTGAAACCCACGTACTGTCTACGTTTGTTCTATCTTGTTACAACTTGCTTGAATTATCTTACTTTCTCTTCAACTTTATTAATTTTCTCGTTATCGTCTGTACCAGGGTTTCAGAATCCTTAGTAATTCGTGGGTCACATAATTCTAGCGCCACCTACATTTTTAAATGTTTCAAACTTTGGAGTAGTGATGAAAAAAAGGCAATCGTATGAATTGAAAGGATATGGTAAATAATGAGTTTTAAATATACATCAAAATAAACATATGGGGTACGTTGTTTATGCCTATATATAACAATCTTTCTTTAAATTAATTCTAAACATCACTTCGAAAATCGATCCTTCTATCAGAAAATAAAAACGACTCTTCCGTTAAGAAACGTCGTACGCCTTGTCTTAACTGATAGTAAGAACTGTGATAGTAGGACAGTGCCATTTCGCGGCAGAATAGTTTTCAAACACTAGCTGCCACCTTTTCCAGTTAGACGAACATTAAAAGTAGTACTTAGAGTGGCAGTAGTTATATATACGTATATATGTATGGATCTACATAAAAAGGATAGGGTCGAGGGAGACGGGGCAGCTAAAACAATTAGCCGCGCAGCAGTTTCCACGGGGTTAAAAGGGGCGACGGTCGAGGGGTGAGCAGGTGGCGGAGAAAGTCTCTGATTCACGGAAATTTCTCTTCCTTTTCGGAGACCAGACAGGAGCTGGGTTCTCGTGAAAAATGTAATTAAATCTCCTTAAAGCGGGGCACATTCGTTAACGAAGTTTAGCCGCTTAGACGGAAAGAAGCTCGATCAAAAGTACGATTCGCGGCTGGGTACCGACTTCTTTTCGTGCTTTGGCCCACCCACCTCGTTATTTACCGCACCTTCGGGCCTTCCTAATTTCCCCCGTTCGCGCCATTCAACGCGAGAAAAACTAAGATTCCTACCGCGCTTTTTCGAGCGTGCAGTGCCACTTCACTTTCTTATAAACAAATCAGGACCGGCAGATTTTGCGAATGGAACCATGGTTAAAGAATTTTTTCTTAACAAACGTAGGACGGAGAACTTGATAAGAATCGTAAATGTAATAGACATGCCATCAAGTTTTACTAATAATTATCATCTATTAATATTCTAATCTAACATCATTACACTCATCCTTCATATTTACGCTTGTCATAAATGCATAAATATTTAATGATTAAATACTGCAATAATAGAAACCGCTGATTTGGATTCACACTGACGATATTTAGTTTAATTTAAATATTCAAAATTTATGCTTAGGCTCGAATTTTTACTTTGACTAGCTTCGCGAATATACTCTAAAAAGCTACAAAAATGTATTCGTTGTTCAACAACTATACGTGTTAGAGACTCCTTTAATTGACAGCTTTTTTCCATTCTCCAGAGTATCCATCATAAATATTATAGTAACATCGGCAGATGAAACTTCATCGGTAAAATGGTAGGAATGATACATCAGGTAGAATTTAGCCGAGACTCGTTGAAATTTAATATAATATATTAGATTTTAAGTTTATTGCTACTTTCTCAAGACTATCTTCGAGTCGACAAAATGTTCCTATGGGAAATAATATGCTATTCCACTTGGTCTTTTTGTCTAACATTAATAATAATTTATTTCAAAAGCTGCAAGTGTATCTGCTGGCCAATATGATTCGGTAACGATTAGGTATAAAATGAGAGGAAGAGTGTTTGAAAACTGGTTAACTAATTCTCTCGGACTGTCGTCGCATTCAGTCCTAGGCTAGGACTCCCGCTCCTTTTTCTGCTTTAAGGAAAAAACAGACCCTTTTCTCCAAGGCCCTAATGTGTCAATTCATTGCATTCCGACAATTATTACTGTATTATTATATTATGATATTCATGAAACGACGAGACGTCTGGTCCCAAACTGAAAGAAACTCGAAACAGACAGATGAAATTTTAACTATTCTATAAATTTGGAATATTTAGCTAAAACTGGCAACAATTGTGAAACTATTTATGATACGTTCTGTTTATTTAAGCTCCTGAAGGTCGTGCCTTTTCGCGAGTGACATTCGGCATTGATCATACAAATTTTATGTGTACCTTCTCCACGTCAAAAAACACATTAATGTATTAACACACTTATCTATATATGAACATTCATTAGTAGTAGTCTAAACTTTGAATATCTCATATTGGATGTGTACATTCATAAATTGATGGCTCTTACCAAGTCAACACGAATTGAAACTCCATAACCATGCACAGGATTATTCCTAAAATTAGGAAGCGGATTTTACTTGTATGAAGAATCGGAAAGGACATTATATGGTCCTGGAATAGCAGACAAAAACTCTGCTTAAATCTTTTAACGCGGTTATCTCGAAATATGATTGTACGAGGTGTATTTCGAAAAATATCTCGAACATTATAGATTATTTTGAACCTTAAAATTGCCGTAGAGTCATTTCTTTTCTAATAATGCATAGATTCTGAGATAAGGGGCGCATCCGTTACTTTTTTAAAGACCTTTATATGTTATAGTTACGATATTTTTGTTTTTGCTTGGTGTACGTGGGGATTAAACGTCACTCACCTTGTTAAAACGTAGCTTGTCGGACTCGATGGAATATCGAGAACAACGAATAACGAAACAAAAAGCACTTACCGCAAGGCCCATCGATGCACGGGCATGTTCCATGTTCTCCAGAAAGTGTCGATGTTATTCGCGTTCCACCAGTCGCAGTAGAAATTCCGATCGGCGAAATGCAGCAGTTCCCCTATCAGATTCAGGGTTGAATGGAATGACAAGTAGAAGAAACACAACCAGACCAGGTGGTTCGGTATCTGTAACACGGAAACGTCCGTAAAAGGTATTACAACGAGGATCATGTTTTATGTAACATTGTCGTACGAATTCGTGCTTTACGTATTTTAACACATTCGCGACTGCTGACGTGAATTCCCGTCACTTGAAATTTTATTCCTGGTTATAAAAAAATTATGTAAATCTTTTTATTTTATACACTACGTATTTACAACATTGATATTTCAAAACATATTTTGTAGTTTTTATTTTCGGCCTAACGATGCAAATTTTCGATGTCCAGCTTCAAAATTTTATTATTTTCGTCAGTACTGGGTATTAGAAATGTAAAATATCTGCCGGTCGTGAATGTGTTAAACAATTTTTGTTTACACCATCGAATTCAGCGTAAAAGAACTACATAAAAGTACAAAGTTTCAAAAATTTCGTTTCAATAACTGCTGGTAGCTGATTTTTGTGGGGGCACCCTTCCTTAACTTGCTTCAATTGACCTACGTAAAAAAAAGAATTTAGGAAGCGTATAATAATTTATTACTTTGTCTCAATAGCATAAAGAATTTTTCACTCGGCTAACCGTTTGCTCCGTCGATCTTTGTTAACTCCACAATGTGTATAACACGCGAACAGCATAGCCGACGGCTACGGGCACCAATATTTTCCTTCTTTTTGTTTCGTATTCTTCATTCGGGGGCTCGTTAAACCGACGCGAATTCGCATCTCTCGCTGTTCCATTGCCGTAGCCTCGAGGCAGCTGCGCAATTTCGCGTAATTCTTAACCACTGTTAGCACACTGCTGGCAAAAGAGATGTCGGAAGAAAGGAAATATGATAGTCGGTGAAAGGCGCCAGGAGGAACAGTCGAAGCTCTTTCTCGCCGTATAATACACAAGGTGTTTATAAATTACAGCGAAAAACTGCACGCTCTGAGCACAGAGCTCATCGAATCTACGAAAAAAGACCATTACGAAATACATCTCCGAAACGCGAAAGAGGATTCCGAAAGGGACGCTGATTTTCAAATTTTTTTTCAAGCTTCCACCCATTCCCTTTAAACATAAAAGAGAATTTATGTTCTCTAGATATGTAAATAACAAATTATTGTCACTTTTATAGGAACTCGTTCAATATCATATGGTTTTCACTGATTTTAATTGAAAATTTTTTAATAATATTTACTGTACTACATTGCGCGGTTTTCATTAATTTTGATGAGAGAAATTTTAATAATTTCCATTTATTTAACACCAGTGTTTTGTTAAATTAAATGCTTGCAGAACTCCTGTACAATAAATAAGTAATATTTACTGCACTACATTGTGTGGTTTTCATTCTCCGCTCAGAAAAGAGCTACGGTTTGTCCCAGTTTCTAAAATCACTTTGTATACAAATTTTCATGTAAATCTAACAACTTTTTAGCATACAAGTCGGTCGTATTAGGTCCACCATTTTGAATTTTTGAATCCCGATGTAAGATTCATATTCAGAGGTTCCAAAAATCTCTGAATGCGAAATTTTATACAAATCTGAAGACTCCTCTATTTTTGAAGAATTTTGAGACCGAATACACCACTGTGAATCGTTTCTGTCAATATAATCGTGTCCGTTCGATTCGAACAACTGCTTCGAGGGATGTTACAGCTCTCCCCCTCTCTCCGTCCTCTACTGTAATAAGATATTCTTTCCTGTCTTTCTCGCTCTGTCTCGTACTCCCGATGCCTGGATGGGAGTTATTTCAACGATTCCGGAAGCGGAGGGCAATGGAGTCCCGATACGGCGCGTATAATTCTCTTACGAAGTTCGTATTTCCTTTGCTTCTTGAGGGAACTTCAGACGCAACGTTCTCGAGTCGGTTCACGCAGCCGGATGTTTAATAGCTGCGACAAAATTCAGCATCGCATTTCGCCCTGTTTCATCGGTGCTCGAGCGTTTCGTAGAAGTTCCACGCCCGTGAACCCCAGCGCGCTCAAACTTTCCGCGGAGAGGGATCACAGGAAGGTTGGTTCCGATTGTTTCGCGCGCAGCGAGGCGTCACGCCGTGCTCTGGAGACGAACGATCGCTAAGCCTGGGACAATAGCAATTTTACTTAAAAAAAAATATATACATTTTATGCATATACTTTCTTCAAATGAAACAAACAATATTGGTAACATTATTCCTTCACATATTCGACTATCTCGAATAACAAAGATTGTTCAGCATAGGTAAAATGTTTGAAGTCGACTTTTTTCTGTTTTTTTTTTTTTTTTTTAGGCGAAATCAACCAGTGCACGTCGGTACGAGGATTTTATCGAATTCTCCGTGTGCCGAAATAGCCACGCTGTTCCGTAATCGGGTACGCAAACTTCGAAAACGCGGCATGGTTAATTTGACGCGCAACATTTTCGATCACCGTTGAGGTCGCGACTCCGATAGCCACGTCTGTCCTTTCAGTGCGTTAATTAAAATTTTCACTTGGAGTACGGAGCGCGTGGTGCGCGCGCATTAAAGGAATATTTTATAATCTATGCTATGGCTATGGCTACGGCTATGGAAAAACTAGGGCATTATGGGAATTGTATAAAATAAAATTTATCAAACGTGTCGGCTTCAAACTTTTCTCTCCCACTGATAAATATCTTACGCAGCTACAGTAGCTAACAAAAGTAAGTAAACATTACGAGTGTTTATTTTATATTCATATGTATATTTTTCATCCTCCTATTACATTTAGACAAACTATTTTAAAACAATTCATAGCAAAGCAAAATCAACGTTGATAGGTAACGATCATAGTTGTTTCGTTATGGACTCAGGCAGCATACGCTATTTTGTAACATTCACAATATGTTCTACCTTGACTGAAAAAATTAAAATTTATAGAATCTGTTTTATTATACTTTAATATTTTGTCTTAATCTCTTTTGGTTTTAATAGCAACTCTAAGGGAAGAAAAACTAAATATTTCAGACGATTAGAGTTATTCGTTTCTTAAGAATAAGTGAGTAAAGTAAGTTCCATTTTTGAAGTATAGTTTCATTACTCGCTTAATACCTCGAGACACGCAGTCACGCGTCAAAGAGCGATTTTCATCAGCTACAAAATCTGTGAAATTAATTAGGTACGATACGGGATCCATTGTTTGCATACTGAAAACGACCAACGGTGTGCAAGGGAGGAGTAAAGTGAACGCATTAGTGGCAAAGTAATCAGAAGAATGGCTTCCCGAGGTTTTCTGTGTTAATGTAAAAGCCATACTGTTAGTAATAAAACAAGTGCTGCGCAAACAAGTAACTAACCTGTAAAAAACAAAACTAAATATCACATGTATTTCTAGTGGCAATGAAGTTAAGTGACTAAGCCTCTTGTACGTTGCGACATCAAACAATTAATATCATTGAAATAGCGAGCGAGTGGGTCACGGCTTTCAGAAGCGTTCGTCTTTCAACGCGAGTGGTCTCATTTACTCAGTTCGCCGATCAATTCCCAGCGTACGAACGTCCAATAAAGGAGAGAGCAATTGGATCATGGTAAAAAATAGTGCTTCACTTGGAAGGGAAATATCGACGAGCGTTCACGAATGGAATAAGGTTCCATGCGTTATATGTATATGCAACGGTGTTTTTTATAAAGCGACTGATACGATTGACTATGAAGTTTGAGGAATTACAGGTAAACTTCTCGTTGAAGGTATGTTTATATTTCTTTATAATTTTTTAATTACAGGCGGAAATAACTATGTCGAAGTCAAAATTAGTTGACAGACAGTTCCTTCAATGTAATTAATTGACATATTTTCCGAGTTCAATTTATATACTATTGTTTCACGTACTATTAAATTTACGAAAGAAATCCCATAGTATTTGAAAGAAAAAATACCATCAATTTAATAAAACCATTTTTATATTTTCTTTTAGAATCAGTCAAAGACATTATAATAATAAATAGAGTATTATAATGTCCGAATATAAATACGAGTCACTGTATTTCCCTTAAGCCGAATCTTTTCAAAGTTGCGTATTGTATTTATAAATCGTCTTTCCTGTTGTATTCGGAGCACTCGAACACGACATCCAACAAGACCGATTTCACTCGACCATCGTTACTCGTGCTCGTTATTCTCTCGTTAGTCCGAATGCTGTGGATCGAAACTAGCCAGCCGTAGTGTTTCGATCAGTGAGCCGGACTCGGTGAACCGAATTCAATTATATGACTTCCGTCCCAAAAGCGAGTGCCGCGATGCGCCCTTCTGGAGCGTGTATAATAGCGCTCTTTCCCCGGCCGCGTCGTTGCTTGTTCGCGATTAAAGCGCTGGCCAAAAAGCCACGCATCGCTGGACTTCGTTAACAAATTTTTCCCGCTCGCCAATTAATTGGACCCATCGCGCCATTAATTACCGAAGTCTGACGCGGTGCACACAACCTACCTGCCCGGCTGGTCGTCGCGTGCAAAAAAATCGAATGTCCTTCGAAATCGTTGATGAACACTCCGATCCCCTGGTGCACCCTGAATTTTCCATTCAGTAATTTCAGGGGCGGATTCCTACCAGAGAATTGAACTTTTCGCGTTCGAAACTATTACAGATGTTTGTTGGTAAAAGCATGCCAATGTGTTCGCCACACTGCCCCTAGCTTCGTTAGTGGATGAGGATGAACTGATATTGGTACACCCCTGATATGATTATTGAAGCTACGGTGAAATTTCTAAATGCAGCTCTTGGACATTAAATTTGGACTACATGCAAGGATCTCATTTTTCTAAGTACATAACGCCTCACACGTCTTGTGGATATTTATGCTTCTCCTAGTTTCTCTAATGAGAATTTTAAGGATGGATGTCTAGCAGACACTCTGCGAGCACGAATTCGGTTGTGGATCTTTGGCGAAGACGAATATTTGTCTTCTTCGCGTTATGAAAATGGCATTCATTTTGTAAGTCACATGCCTCTGTGGCTGCTACTTCTAATCTTAATATTGAATCTTGGGGCTCTTTCGGTGAGCAATTCTCCTTTGCAATTGTCAATGAATTATTTCACAAATGTACC